GATTTACCTTTCATTGCTTTTGTACTGTCAGGGCAAATGTCAACACAATAGAAAAAATGAATATTATCTTATTAAAGATAGGGTTTTAAAAAAAAATTTGTAAATTATTATGGGTACATAATAGTTGTACATCTTTATAGGGTACTTGTGATGTTTCGATACAGGCATGCAATGTGAATTAATCAAATCAGGGTAATTGGGATATCTATCACCTCAGGCATTTAATGTTTCTTTGTGTTAGGAACATTCCAGTTCCACTCTTCTAGTTATTTAATATTTTAAAGTATACTCTAACTTATTGTTGATTATAGCCACTGTTATGCTATCAAATATTGCTCATTCTATCTATTTTTGCACCGATTAACCACCCTCACTTTATCTGCCCCACCGACCCTTCCCTGCCTCTGATAACCATCGTTCTACTCTTTGTCTCCATGAGGTCAACTGTTTTTAGGGTTTAGCTCCCCCAGATGAGTGAGAACATGCAAGATTTATCTGTCTGTGCTTGGCTTATTTCACTTAAAAATACTGTTCTCCAGTTCCATCTATGTTGTTGGAAATGGCAGGATTTCATACTTTTTGTGGCTATATAATATTCCATTGTGTATATACCACAATTTCTTTATCCATTTATCCAATGATGGACACTTATTATTTCTCCTTTGAATGATTGGTCGAATTCACAGTGATGCCATCAGTCCTGGGCTTTTCTTTGTTGGGAGACTTTATTACTGCTTCTGTTTCATTGCTTGTTATTGTTTTATTTAGGTTTTAGATTTCTTCCTGGGTCGATCTTGGTAGATTGTATGCGTCTAGGAATTTATCCATTTTTTCTAGGTTTCCAATTGATTGGCATATAGTTCCTTATAGTGGTCTTTTAGTTTGGCTAAAGGTGTGTCAATTTTGTTTATATTTACAAAAAAACAACTTTTTGTTTCATTAATCTTTTGTATTTTTTTGTCATTTCAATTTCATTTATCGCTGCTGTGATCTTTATTATTTCTTTTCTTCTAATTTTGGGTTTGCTTTGCTCTTGTTTTTATAGTTCTTTGAGATGGATTGGTAGGTTGTTTATTTGATGCTTTGCTCCTTTTTTGATGTAGGCACTTACTGCTATAAATTTTCCTCTTATTACTGCTTTTCCTTTATCTTATATGTTTTGATATGTTGTGTTTTCATTTTCATTTGTTTCAAGAAAGTTTTTAATTTCCCTCTTACTCTCCTTATTGACCCTCTGGTCATTCAGGAGCATGTTACTTAATTTCCATGCATTTGTATAATTTCCAGTGTTCCTCTTGTTATTGGTTTCTAGTTTTTTTGTTTTTTTGTTTTTTTTTTAATTTCAGCATATTATGGGGGTATAGATGTTTAGGTTACTTACGTATGTTGCCCTTGCCCCTCCTCACCCCCCTCCCCCGCTAAGTCCGAGTTTCAAATATGTCCATCCTTCGGATGGTGCGCATTGCACTCTTTGTGTATGCAAATACCCGTCCCCTCCTGCCTCCTCCCCCCTCCCCCCTGCCCAACATCCAATAGATGTTATTCTTATATGTGCATTTATGTGTTGGTTTCTAGTTTTATTCCATTGTGGTCAGAGAAAATACTTGGCATGATTTCAAGTTTTTTTAATTTTTTAAGACTTTTATGACCTAACATATGGTCTATCCTTGAGAACGATCCATGAGCTAAGGAGAATGTGTATTCTGTAGCTGTTGTATGAAACTTTCTGTAAATATCTATTAGGTTTGTTTGGTCCACAGTGCAAATTAAGTTCAGTGTTTCTTTGTTCATTTTTTTGTCTGGATAATCTGTCCAGAAAATGGAGAGTTGAGGTCTCCAATGATTATTATGTTAGGGTCTATCTCTCTTTAGCTCTTATATCTTGGGTAGGAAGACAGAAAGACAAACCTATCAGAAATAACCACAACAACTTTTTGAGAGATAGGGAGTATAAAAAGATACTATGGAAACAGCAAAAAGTTTTAAAATTTAAAAAGGAGAGTGGAGTGAAAGGTAGTATTTCTATTAGATTTCTCTTTGCTTATTTGTAAGCAGAGTTGTCATGTTTAAAGTAATTGGTTATAAAACATGTTTTGCAAGCCTCATGGTAACCTCCAATCAAAAACCTACAACAGATGCACAAAAAATAAAAAGCAAGAAATTAAAACACACTATCAGAGAAAATCACAGGAAGGAAATAAAAAGGAAAGAGAGGAACACAAAAGAACCAGAAATCAAATAATAACACGGCAGTAGTAAATCCTTACCTATCAATAATAACATTGAATGTGAATGGACTAAACTCTCCAATAAAAAGACATGAGTGGCTGAATGAATTAAAAAAACAAGAGCCAACCATATATTGTCTGCAGGAAACACACTTCACCTATAGAGACATGTAGACTGAAAATAAGGGGTTGGAAAAAGATATTCCATGCAAACGGAAACCAAAAAGTGCAGGAGTAGCTACACTTCTATCAAATAAAATAGATTTCAAGTCAAAAACTATAAATAAAGAGACAAAGAAGGTCATTATGTAATGTTAAAGGGGTCAATTCATAAAGAGTGTGTAGCAGTTCTAAATATATATGCACCCAATGTTGGAGTAGTCATGTATATAAAGCAAATATCAGAGTTATAGTATGGCTTTAGTTACTAGTAATGAATTTGTTTTATGCGGTCTCTTTACCAAATAAATTGTAATAAAAAGCAAATGATATAGCTGTTGTTCATTTTGGAAAATAATTTGCTAAATGTGGCTTTTCCCCAGTAAGTTCTCTTATATAAGGTTCTGATCTATATGTGTATTTGGATACTTTTGTAGTTTTCTCAAAAAGGCTAAATTTTCCTTTCAAATTTAGGTTAGAAGAAGAAGAAAAGTTTTTAAATGCTGAAAGTTACTATAAGAAAGCTTTGGCTTTGGATGAGACATTTAAAGATGCAGAGGATGCTTTGCAGAAACTTCATAAATATATGCAGGTGATTCTTTATTTCCTCTTAGAAATTTAGTGATATTTAAAATTAATGCCAAAATTTAATTTTTTTCTAGGGAAAACTATGCTAGATTATTCAAGTGAGGCAATATGAAAAGTTTCTTTCTAGTTACGGCTTTTCCTAATTGAGTTTGACATTGCTTCATACTGTCTCTTGTTTTTTATCTGTTTGTACACAAAAGTAAAAATACCACTATGAGAGAATTCCTATTGCCTAAATTTGGTACTTGGTTTTGAGAACTGTTCTGGTAGTGAGCTTACCTGATGGCTGTAAAATTATTAGTGTTGCTATATTTAAGCTAATTATAAAAACCTTTTTGAGTCATTTTAAACTGTCTTTTCCTGTAATACTGATGATGATGTTTTCTCATGCATTTTCTTCTGAATTGGACCATTGCTGCTGTGTCTGTGACATCTGGTGCTGCTCATCCCCATCCACAAACTGGAAAATGATTTCTTATGTAATCATGCATTCAACTGGGCTGTGCTATTTTTAAAATGGTTTGTATTTGAACATGGTGATTCTCCCCTCATTTCACTTTAATGAAATGTGTTTATTTGAATTTTATTTGTAAAATTTGTGTCCTATTTAAATTTTCAATCTTTTAAAATAATTTTTCATATACTTTATTTTTGGCCTTTCTTGCACTCTGGGTTATGGGTACCACTGCAATGGCATCCCCTTTTTTCTTGGGATATCAACTGCAATATGGTCCTCAATACTGTTCTGGCCATTTTCAATGATTAATGCCAAACATCTGTATGATTAATTTTTTTATGTTAAAAAAAATACTTGTTAAATGCTGCCTATATGGTGTTCTGGTTTTACTAAATTGGGTTTCTGGTTGGGGTGGTCTTTTGAATACTGGGTTTTATATATTTTGCTATTTTTAACGTGTGGTTTTTTTCGATATCTGGGTTCTAAAAGAAATCTTTGGAATTAAGAGAAAAACAAGCTGAAAAGGAAGAAAAGCAGAAAACAAAGAAAATAGAAACAAGTGCAGAAAAGTTGCGTAAGCTCTTAAAAGAGGAGAAAAGGTAAACTATAATATTCAGTACTTTTTAACCTAAGGCAACTACTGAGTTGAACCTAAAGTGCCATTGAAAGGTAAAGTAAGTAAAAAAAAATAAAAGCATCTCATGTGATAATCAATGACTGATAAGAATTTTTAGCAAGTATGTGTTCCGCACATTTTCGTATTAAAGAGATAGTAAAGTAAAATGGAATGTAAGGCTAGAATTCTGCCAAAAAAAAAAAAAAAAAGAATTTATCTTAGAATTAAAATATAGAATAAGTTATTTTAATTGACTGTATTTTTGAGAGGAAATGTTTTATAACTAGAGCAGTCATTCCCAGCTAGGAGTGATTTTGTTCCCCAGGGTATGTTTGGCAATGTCTGGAGATACTTTTGGTTGTCATAACTGGTGAGGTGCTACTAGCATCTACTAAGTAAAGGTCAGGGATACTCCTGCAATGCTCAGGGTAGCCCCCATGCCTACCCCCAACAAAGAATTATTTGGCCCAAAATATCAATAGTGTGGAGATGGCAAAACCATGAACTGGAGGTAGCCAGATATAAAACTTTAGTTCTCTCCTTTATGTGTTCAGGTAGTTTTGAGTTTTTAAGGTGGTGGTGGAAAAGTCTGTTGTGTCTTTCAGAAATGATGGATTTGCTTACAGTGATGCCTGTTTTCATAAGCATTTTTCCCTAAAAGTCATGCCTGATAGTAAAATTAGATCTTGTAGTAACTGAGATTAAATGAAATCTTAAACAAATAGAACCAAAATCTTTATGAATAACTTAAGAATATCTTTATGAATAATTTTCGTACTTAACATATCTGATGAGTTAACTACATTTTTTTAGGCTAAAGAAGAAAAGAAGAAAATCAACTTCTTCCTCTTCAAGTGTTTCGTCTGCTGATGAATCACTTTCTTCTTCATCATCCTCTTCCTCTTCTGGCCACAAAAGGCATAAGAAACGTAAGAGGAACCGTTCAGAGTCTTCTCGCAGTTCCAAAAGGCATTCATCTAGGGCATCCTCCAGTCAGATAGATCAGAATAGGAAAGATGAATGCTACCCAGTTCCAACTAATACTTCAGCGTCTTTTCTTAACCATAAACAAGAAGTGGAAAAACTACTGGAAAAGCAGGATAGGTTACAGTATCAAAAGACACAGGTAAAAGAGAAAGATAGATGCCCTTTCTCTTCATCTTCAGTTGAAATACCGGATGATCTTGGAGGTAGGTCTGAAGAGCCAAGAGATTTTTATAATAGCTATAAAACCCAGCCATGTAGTAGCAAAACAGAGAAGCCATATAAATCAGAAAGACATTTTTCCAGTAGAAGAAATGCCTCAGATTCTTTCTGTAGGAATCCAGAGGATAAGGTAAAAACTTACGGTTACAGGAGATTTGAAAAGGATATAGAGGGAAGAAAAGAGCACTATAGAAGGTGGGAGCCAGGTACCGTGAGATATTCCACTTCACCAGCAAGCTCAGACAACTCTTGGAAGTCAGTTGAAAAATACAAAAAATATACTTACCCTGGATCACGTGATTTCAGTAGACATGAACAAAGGTATCAATTAAATACAAATCAAGGAGAATATGAAACAGAGGACAATTATGGGGAGGATATCAAAACAGAGATTCCAGAAAAAGATGGACTAAATAGGAAAGAGCACTCAGAAAGCAAAGTTAAAAAAAATTTACCTCAAAATTTACTCAATATATTTAACCAGATAGCTGAATTTGAGAAAGAAAAAGGAAGTAAGCCAAAAAATTAATATGCCAAGGAAATCAGCACCATTACACCAAATGCTGTTAATTAAAATTTGGGGATGTTTTTGTTCATAACAGTCCAGTGTAAAAATCTCTGCTCTTAAAATTATTTGTAGAGATTACAGAAAGCAAATGTTTTTTAGCTTTTCTCAAATTTGATTCGTTTCAGTTGCAGGTTCCTTTGTCACAGCTTGATTTTTAGGCCTTTCATGTATATATGTACAGTATATTTCTTACTCTGACAATTTGAGTTTCTTCACCTAAAAATAATCCTCTGAAAGTATTGTTTCTTCCTTGTATTATGGTGTACAAGAATTCCTGGGTTCACCACATCCTACAGTTTGAGAGAGAATTAAATTTGTGCGTTGAACACTTAGATCATCTTCATCAAAAATTATTTCATTCTCCTTTCTGTTAAATTAAAAGCCTTCAACTTTTGAAAGATTATGTTTGAATGTTTCTTGATTATTTGTATCACTTGTTTAAATATTAAATTTTTTTGCACAGTTTTATTTGAAATGGTAGATTACGTGTCTTAATTTGCTTCTAAAGTCTGATTTAATTAAATGGTTTGTGAATGGTCATTGCCAGCTTAACAAGTACCTTAGAAATAAGATTGTGAAAGTTGAATAGGAGCCCATTTTTCTTATTTCTTCATTATTATTTTTATCTTACTGCTAACATAGCCATAAGAAATTTTTTAACTTTAAATAGATTGGCAAACCCTTAGAGACTGTCTATATTCCAGGCAAGAATAGATCATAATAGAAAAGAATCTTTTAGCAAAAAGTGATGGCAGAGGCAGAGAAGTGCACCGTAAATCTCATTTTTCTCTAGGGAAAGAAAATTAGGAAACTGTCCTAGTATTGCAAATGTTCGATCCGGAAAGCACTAGGCATGTTTTTAAGTAGCCTAGGTCTGGCCTGCATTTCTGCTTTTCTTACTACTTCCTCTCCCTTGATGCTTCCCTGATGTCTCCTTTCTCATGGTCTGAATAAATAACTAAACCAAGCAGAGCCTGGTTTTACTTGAAATAAGTTCCAGCTTCTATAGCTGAAGAAGGAAGGGACTTGGATTGTAAAGATCCTCTCAAAATTACTGAAAACAGTATAGCATTCTCTTTGGGAGACAGAGATAGAAATCACAGGTGTTGGGTTTACGTCTAGAATCTTTCCAGTTTAAGATTCTAGAATCAGTAAATGATTTGAATACTGGCACTCATGATGACACTGGATGGGTATAGGTAGGTGGGTAGATGGGTATCCATCTACAAAGGTCTAAGTACGAGACAATGATAGAGGAATAAGAGACTTTTATTCCCTATTCTGTCTTGTAGTTTTTGCCAACAATAAAATACCCACCCTTTAAGTACTGAGTGTGTACTTACTATTTGTGTCATGCAAACTCCAGTGATGGGAGCCTAGTGGAAAATCTGAAATTTGTTTTGCAGTGGAATAGGAAAAAGAAATCCTGGTTAAGAGCAATAGATAATGGCAGTAGAAATGGGCCATTACTCAGGCATTAGTGTTTGCACAAAGAAATTCATCTTAAAAGAGTCCTCAGTTCTATGTATTAATAGCTTTAGTATCATCTTTACATAGTGCTACATAGTGGTGTTTTTACAAAGTGAAAACTACCTCTTGACATAGCCCTCAACCTTTTGGAATCTAGTACAGCTTATAATTTTAGACATACCATTTTATTTAAAAGTTAGGATAGTACCTTATCCTGCAGGCTGCCTGAATTGAAAAATTCTATCTTCCCAGGGCCTCTCCACTGGGAAATACTAAATTTAAGCAGGTACATAAACCACTTTAAGGATGTGTTCAGGAAGCCCATCACAGGACAAATTATTGGGCATTTATATTGTCAAGAATTCCTAGTGACTGGTAACTTCAGCAATTTTTCTCAGCATCAGTATGTCTATAGGCCGACTGTGTCTTGGTTTCCACAAGTAGATGAAGCACAGCTTTTGGATGTTCTGATAACTCCAGACTTAGAGATAGAGAGGTTGATCCCCTGCCTCCCCATTTGGCCTTACTACACTGAAAATAGAACTGTTACTTAAGGGTTAAAGGTAGACTTGTATGCTGACCTAAGAACCTAACTATTCCATTCCACAAATACTGTGTTAGCCTCTGGAGGTTGACTCAATAATAGGTAAAAGTTATTGTGCAGTTACTACATGTCAATCCCTGTGCATTTTGCATATATTAATCCAATTGTTTCAATAAATTTATGATGTCGGTAACTTTACTACAAATGAGGGAAAAAAGCATAGGGAAGTAACTTCCCAAAGTCACAGAGCTAAGACACAACCTCTGCCTTCATAGAACACAGTGTTTAATATTGCAAGTTCCAAATAATTTACAAACTAATATAGGACAGAATAAGAATTGTGGCATTCTGTGAAGGAAGATTGAATATAGTAAAACAGGAAAAAAACTGGTGAACAAAGTGACTGAGGTTAATCAGTTTTTAGATACTATAAATCTCATGCATTAGAGCAGTGTTTTAGCCAAAAATTATATTCTCCAGCTTTATCTAGCCATCTTACCCATTGGACTTTGGTATGCCTTTTCCTAACTGTTTATAAAACAAAATAATAATCGGGAGAGACAGATTCATTACCACTAATTTTTAGAAGGAAATGAAAATGATGGTTTTAAATGACAATTGTAATGAATATTTTTTCCAAGATTTGAAGGAAGCAAATACATGGGTTCTAATACATTTATTTGAAAATCCAGTTTTATAATATAATATTCCATACTCTATTCCAAAAGTTCAAAGTGTTGAGCACATGTTATAATAAAGTATTAACTAGAAAAACTAATTCTAAATCTGGTGGTCTACCTCCACTGTAAATTTATGAAATTCCTATTGCAAATCATATTTAGGTTTCTTTATTAAATCAAGAAAATTGTAAAAATATTCTATATGCTTGGTTGATTGTATCTGTGAGGAAATCTTTATGTGATTTCTTTCAGGGTCAGAATGGATTTGAGAAATTAGAAATGTAAGCTGTACTTTTTATTAATAAACAGTGTATCTCTTATCAATTGTTTTCTTTGAGGGGAAGAGGTAATGTTACTTTTTGGTTAAAAATTATACCAAAAGAAGGAATTGCCTTTAACAGATTTTTTTTCCCCCAAAAGTCTGGGGAAAAAATACATTTATTACATGTATTTTGAATAAAATACATGTAATATATTTTTTTGAATAAAGAATACCAAATTTTGGGATCTTCTAGAGTGAGAATTTTCATATTGTTATAAGCTCTTAATAGTACAATGAATCTTTAAAAATTTCTTCCTGAAAGATTATTAAATTAGAAGTGAATGTAGTTTCATGAAACAGTGAAGCAAACTATTTTCTAACACTACAAACATCAAAATTAAAGTGAAAAACACCATTTTCCCTATGTGTATATAACATGTAGCTTTGTCAAGAATCTGGTATTATTGTTTTCCATCTGTATGAAGAAAATAGTAGGAAAACTAAGAAAATTACTTGATTTTTTTTTAAATTATCAGTTTTTTCACTTTGCACTGGATAAAACCTGTTTGGTCATTTTGTATTTTAAAGTATAAAATTTTTGTGTGTTCACAACTTGTTCAAACGAGGTTAAAATATTTACTTGCTGCTCTTTTTGCTTCTACTATTAGTAGCACTAGTTGGCCTAGAAGCATTGTCTACTAGTGAAGAGGAGGCCGGGAAGTTGAGCTCTAATACTTTAATTGAAGTCTGAGAAGCAGAACTGTTTGTACTCCTAGATGACCTAAAAGAAAAACCAGAATTATTATAAATTTAATGCAAAATTTATATTTAAGTATAGACCCCCCCATTGGGTAAAAGATACCATAATTCCATAAGTAATTAAAGAGATCAAACAGTACATATTATTAATAATGTTAAAAAGTTTTTAAATAAGCCAAGACACACAAATCTTGCATGTTCTCAGTTACATGTGGGAGCTAAATATTAAAAGCTTAAAAGCAATTGATCTCATGGAGACAGAGGGTAGAATGATGGTTACCAGAGGCTGGGAAGGGTAGAGAGGAAGGTGAGGATAAAGTGGGGATAGTTACTGAGTGCAAAAATACAGTTACATAGAATTAATATTTGATAGCACAACAAACTGTAATCAACAATAAATTAGGATATACTTTTAAAAAACTAAGAGTGGAACTGTAATGTTCCAAACACAAAAATATTAAATGCCTGAGGTGATGGATACCCCAGTTACCCTGGTTTTATTAATTCACATTGCTTAAACACGTGTATAAAGACATACAACTATTATGTACCCATAAAATTAACATTTAAAAATTTTTAAGAAGTTTTTAAAATAGGACCATTAATAGGTATCAAAAAATTTTTAAAGGAAAAGAAAGATGACCATAGTTTCAAACCAGTAGAAAAATAGCTCAATAAGTATGTTTCTATATGAGAAAAATATTTTCAACTATAATCAGTATTTTGCAGTTGGAATCATTAAGCAATAAGGATTCCAAAACAGTAACAAAAGAGGGGCAGGGGGATTTGGTGCTGGCAAGAGTAATTAAAATGATAGCTTCTGTAATTTAAGCTGACAAGGAAAGCAAGAAGTGTATTGATTGACAGATAAACTGGTGAGGTCACTTGAAAAACAACTAGCCATACAATTCTGAAATAAGTTTTTATAATATATTTTATGCAAGTACAGGGATGTTCAGTTATCTACTATACTTATGCAGAAACTGTTTTACTTAATGAAAAACACTATCTTTTAGGACTTCCCTTTTTCTTCATGAAATCTCTAAATGGACTAAGGAAAAGTAATTTAGTAAGAAGCTGCTGAATGCAGGAGTTTGGGAATTCTAAAATCAGGATCATTATTAATTTTGTCAGCAAAGCACAAGAGGGTTTATTTAAGCATCCCTGATGATAGAATTCTGGATAACTACAGAAGTAAAAAAGTTTCCTTTTCAGCAAAATAAAACATCATGAATAAAATAAAATTCTGATTTTCAAAAATTTCATAATGTTTTAATCGCAAAAATCTTACTACATATATCCATACATCTAAGCTTCCCTTTTACTGTTTAAAAAAATTTCCCCCAACTTAGGGTTCACCCCCAAATGCTAGATGTAACCCACAAGTTTTACTTTATCTCTGCTTTGTCCTACTGAAGGCTCATAGTCACAAAGCACTTGTGCCATAATAAAAATGGTGATACCAGCAGCAGTCAGAAGCAAAGTCTTGCTCTGCGGGCTGTTTCTGCATTTTATCTATGTGATGCTGGCCTAGTGAGGTGGCTGAAGGTGAGGGGAGCACTGGCAGTGCACTGGCTGGTCCAGCAGTTGTGGTGATGTGGAGGTGGCTTGATTCTCTTAGGCTAGCGGCTGTGAGAGTTAAGATGTTTGACTTTCCCACTTACCTTGCTGATAACAGTGAAGTGTGTGAAGGAGTTCTAGAACTATGACGACTGCCTTTAGTACTAGCTGCAGGTAGTTCCAACCCACTCTGGAGAAATATTCAATAGCAATCATTAGTACTACTTAATGCATTTTAGAAGAAAAATATTTTAAATTAGATTCCACTTTATGATAATGCCATAAAATTTTTATTTTCATGAAGCGTTTAAAAAATACACTTAATAGAAGGTACTGTATTACCTGTTGAAAGTATGTTTGAAGGACAACACGGATGTCAGCATTTTCTTCTGTGACATCAAGTAGCATTTCATCAATGATCTTGTGAAACTGTTTCACTTCACGAAGTTTGATGTCTTGTTCTTCTAGTGTTTCATCTTTTGTATCTTTCAAAAGACGTATTTCTTTTGTGAGTTTTGCACACTGTTGGTAAATAATAGTCAATTATATAAACCTATTTTCAGAACTTAATATTTTTTAATGGATGTAGGAAGATTTGAAGTCCCATTTGGGACTTTATAAAATGTAAATATGACAGGTGAGTTTTTAAAATGTCAATACCTGTTTAGTTACTCTTTCTAATTTTGGCTTCTGCTCCTCAGTTTCTTTATTTAGTTGAAACGAATAAGCCTGCTTCTCTGATAATTTTTCTTTGATGTTATTTGCTACATGTTCAATAACTTCTAAAGTGTTTTCCATGCTCTGTAGAAAATATAGTATTAACATACTGGTTAGAATGAAATTGACTTTTATAACTTGCCATTTGCCAAGTATTCATTTAATTTTAATTCATTTATTTCTGTATATTAAATTCTATTGGTAGATAATAAGTAGAGTCATATCCTACATGACATTTTGGTCAATGACAGACTACATACAGGATGGTGATCTCATACATAAGATTATATTGAAGCTGAAAACTTCCTATCACCTAGTGACATTGTAACATAGTAGAACATGTTACATGTTTGTGTCTAGTACATGCAATTATGTATATCTAGTACTTAATACTTGATAATAAAATACTGTGTGCCTGATTTATGTATTTACTATGTACTTTTTATTATTATTTTAAAGTGTACTCCTACTTATTAAAAAAAAAAAAGATAACTGTAAAACAGCCTCAGGCAGTTCCTTCAAGAGGTATTCCAGAAGAAGGCATTATTATCATAGGTGACAACAGCTCCATGTGTGTTATTGCTCCTGAAAACCTTACAGTGTGACAAGATATGGAGGTATAAGATGGTGATATTGATGATTCTGATCCTGTGTAGGCCTAGACTAATGTGTCTTAGTTTTTATAGCAAGAAAGTTGTCAAAAAAAATTTAAAATAGAAAAAAGCTTACAGCATAAAGATAAAAAGAAAAAATAGTTTTATACAGTTGCACCTTGTGTTTGTGTTTTAAGCTAAGTGTTATCACAAAAGAGTCAAAGTCTTAAAAAATTAAAATTTTTATAATGTAAAAATGTTATAATAAGCTAAGGTCATGTTTTTACTGAAAAAAAAATTTTAATAAATTTAGTGTAGCCTAACTATATAGTGTTTATAAAGTTTACAGTAGTCAGTAGTGTACAGTAATGTCCTAGAGCTTCACATTCTCTCACCACTGACTCACCAGAGCAACTTCTAGTCCTGCAAGCTCCATTTATGGTAAGTGCCCTATACAGGTGTACCATTTTTTATCCTTTATATCGTATATTTACTATACATTTTCTATGCTTAGATATGTTTAGGTACACATTTACCATTATGTTACAGTTGCCTACAGTATTCAGTAACATGCTGTACAGGTTTGTAGCCTAGAAGCAACAGGCTATCCTAGCCTGCACTATACCATCTAGGTTTGTATGAGTACACTCTATGATGTTCGCACAATGACGAAATTGCCTAAGGACGCATTTCTTAGACTGTATCTCTGGGGTTAAGGGATATATGACTGCTCTTATGGATTAAATTTTGTATATAATTCCATTGGAAAATATTTTTATGGCACTTGGGAAAAAATAAACAATATAAACTATTGAAATCATGCAGTTTTCAAAGATTTACAGTACATATCATCTCTTCAGCTTTATTAGTAAAATACAAATAGGGCCTGCTTACAAAAGCATGTTATTTTGTCTTTCAGTGATTTGCTTTAGTGACTACTTTCCACTAGATTATTTTTATCTTTCAAACTTTTTGTTTTAAGCAATCTTAATGTGATCTTTAAGGAATTAAATAAAAGTTTATTAAATAAAGAGTAGATAGATCATAATTAACTATGATCTATCAACTAATAATGAGTACTTTTCAGAGCTTAGTACTAGGATTTTAACTAATTAATACTTTGATCACTTCTTTTTCTCTCCTTTAAATGAAACTGTTCTACTATCTACATCCCAAAAAGAGGCTCTAAGGAACTGTCTTCTTTCTTTGTACAAGATCAAGGAATAGAAGTAGTAATAATAATAATAGTAGTAGTAATAATTTTATTGAGCGCTTATTACTAAATAGCCTGTAGAAATTACCTGGATATCTTCCTGAAGTTCTCTGATTTGTCTTTGTTTGTACCTGTATTTTTCATCAGCAGCTCTTTTTTTTTCTTCTAGTTGAATTTTTAGCTCATACTCTTCACCTAGAATTTAGAAAATTTTTAGTTTAAATTTTCAACATACTATTTAGAAATCAATTTTAAAGTATTACATAAATTAAGCATCTAATATTTTTGTTATGAAAAGTTAAATTTCCTTTATCTCCTTGTACAAAAACAGTATGAACCATTTCTTGTTTTGTCAACATAGAGCAACAGTATAGTACAGTTTTTTCAGATTTGAAATTCATTCTCTAGAGAAGTGGTATGCCATGTACCACTAGAACTAATAACAAATGACACCTTAGCAGGCCACTTACAAACAAAGGAGAGGGGGAGGAAAGATGATCGGTTTTTGTGACTCAATCAAACATGATATACTTTGTTCCCCATGTCCCACAGTGTTCCTTTTAACTATACAATTTTCATTATATATACTTATAAAAAAATTTTTTTAACAATCCTACATACTAGATGGAGTCACTTTTTTAAAAGATTGCTTGTAATTGTTGTTGCAGTTGTTGAGCACCTGCAGGGTGTTTTCCAGAGCATAGATTTCTTTTTCAGCTTTGTTGATCTTAGCATCCAAACTGTCACCTTCCCTTTGAAGTTCTTCTTTTTCTTGAGCAGCCTATGAAGTATATAAGAGAACTGATTGAATAGAAGTATTTATCATGGGGGAAAATATCTAATGTCTGTCTTTGGGGCAGAAAATAGTTAACCTGCAACAATAACAGTTAACCTTGGGGCCTACACATGACACCAAGCATTTAATTCTTGCACTTGATTTAGAGTAAAAGACCAAAGCCTCAGGCCTTCAAAATGTGGCACATAGTTGGACCCAAGTGACCATGATAGATATGTAATAACTAACCAAAGTTTACAGAAATCTCTCCAGCAAAAGTTGCCAAAAAGTTATCAGGTATAAACTTGGAAGAGGAACGAGATTAACTAGACGGAGGTTTGTAACTCGATATTAAATCAGAAAAACATTTCTGGACTGAGAGAGATTCAGGAACAATTTCTCATTTCAAATCTTAGTGAACAAGGTACATATTTTACTACCAGGTATATATTTTTAAATTTAAAAAATAATCATAGGCCACGTGCAGTGGCTCACGCCTGTAATCCTGGCACTCTGGGAGGCCGAGGTGGGAGGATTGCTTGAGCTCAGGAGTTCGAGACCAGCCTGAGTAAGAGTGAGACCCTGTCTCTACTAAAATAGAAAAATTAGCTGGGCGTTGTGGTGCACAACTGTAGTCCCAGCTACTTGGGAGGCTGAGGCAGTAGGATCACTTGAGCCCAGGAGTTTGAGGTTGCAGTGAGCTATGACACCACTGTACTCTACCTAGGGCAACACAGTAAGACTGTCTCAAAAATAATAATAATAATTTTTTAAAAAGATCATTGTGATAAATATGGCTAGAAAAGATGAAGTCTATAAATTGCTAAAGATCAAAATGTCCTCCATGAGTGGACATACTCCGTGACTTTTATCAGGATAACTCTGTCACTGGGTTAGGCTTTCTAGAGTTGTACTCAAACAATTCCAAAGAACAACTCAGATTAAAGGTTGACAGATAGCATATATATATATGTTTAAAAATGCCAGAAAACCCATTTTTAGTCAAAACCACCTAATAATTTTATTCGGTCCCTGTGTATGTGTATTGAAACCAGAATGTAGTCAATGAGAAAGGTAAGTTTTATTAGTAATGTTTCAGTTAACATTTTCATTTTTGTTTCTTAAGCTTAAAAACAGGAGTTTTTTGTAACATATAATTTTTGTAACATATAATAAAGCTTAGTAAAGAAAAAAAGTTACTAGATAAACTTTATCTAATTCCTTTTAGTCTAGAATTGACAACCCTATTTTATCTGAAATATAGTGTAGTGGGACAAAACTGAAATGAAAACATTTTAGTTGTTGGTTGACTTATCAGTGAGTTCAGTCACATTAAATCACTTCTCTTCTCTGAGCTCAGTTTCTTCATATTTGTTCATCTTATACAAATTCCCGATCAATTCCATGGATAGCTCGAAGTTCTAAAATTCTGATTCCATTCTCTTCTAAATCGGAGATTATATAATGTATACCTTTTAATTTGAATTAGAAAAGCTGGTATTTGGAAGAAATTTTTATTATTAATACTTCCTAACATTTTAAAGCATTTTCAAGTGACTGTTGGACAGTTTCTTTAAATTGTGGTCAGAACTAGATTGTTTCCTTATAAAGACTAAGAGGAACTTGGAAATGAGATTTGAAAGATACCAGGGCTTCATTGGTTACTACTAATTGTATTTTTCAGTCTGGCTTTTGTCAGATACTGTAAGATGCTAGGGTTGGTGGAAGGAAAAATAAACCATGTGTGCCCCTCTGGTCCTTCAGTAGACCAGAGGCCACTGAAAGACCAAAAACAGGGAGGCTATAGGTTGACCTGTGTCCCTGAAAAAAATATGTTGATGTCCAAACCCACAGTATGTCAGAAGTTGACCTTATTTGGAAATAGGGTCTTTGCAAATATAGTTAAGATGAGGTCATTAAGGTAGGCCCTAACCCTATGTAACTCATGTCCTTATAAAAATGGGAACTTTGAACATAGGGATGACTGTGTGAAGAGACACAGGAAGAAAACCATATGAAGATGAAGAAAGATATCTGGGTGATGCGTCTGTAAACCAAGGAACACCAAAGATTGCCAGCAAAGCACCACAAGCTAGGAGAAAGTCATAGAACATTCTCCCTTACCTCACAGGAACCAACCCTAACAACACCTTCATCTTGGACTTCTAGACTCCAGAACTATGAGACAATACATTTCTGTTATTTCGGCCACCTAGTTTGTGGTATTTTGTTACAGCAACCCTAAAGAACTAATAGAAGGGGTCAGCAAGCTTTGTATGTAAACAGCCAGACAGTAAATATTTTAGACTTTATGAGCCCTTCAGTCTATGCCAAAACTACTTAACTCCACCACTGCAGCATGAAAGCAGCCAGAGACAATACATAAATGAATGAGTTTACGTATTGCGTCTTGCAGTGCTTATTTACAAAACAAGCAGTGGGCAGCATTTGGCCAGAGTCCGTTGTTTGCTGACCCCTGATCTACAACATATAGAAAACAGAACATGTAGAATTTGGCACTGTAACCAAATTCTTCTTTGAGCTAGAAAAGAACTCTTTGTCAAGGATGTAAGAAGGATAAGGGAACAATATTGGATTGAATTTCAATCCTAAATCTACCACATTGAGAACCAGAATCTACCACACTGAAAACCAGAACCACATCCAAGAACAAAAATCAGCTTCTAATTGACAAATTTGTTTTTCCCAGCAGTGGAAACTGCTAAAGTATTATATTCAGATAGTTAAAAGTTCTCAAACAAATATAAAATGAACATTTGTCAAAGAATTTATTCAACTTATTAATAAAGGAACCAGTAGGATGTTTAGACTAGTTTAAAGGAGAATTTGAAGAACAAATTTTATAATATGGTCACACAGAGTCAGAAATGCTGAAATGAATTTGCTGATGATGCAAAACAGATTAATATCTTTTAGGGTAATAAACTTCAATGCTTTCCTTATCTTTTCTACAGAGCAGAGATGTATTTTCTATCAGCCAAAGTTCACTTGCATTGTTAGCAACAAGAATCATTTGTATTATCTGCATGTTATCATCTGTACCTACAGGGTTGTATTAATAAAATAAGTTAGTCAATAGAAAATCAATGGCATGCATACCTATAGAATCAGATAATCCCTAGAGAGGCCACTAGAAAATGCCAAGACTGGTGTCACCAAGCAGTGGCATCATTGTACCCAGTAATTGCTTTTCTCCATTTTCAGGCCATATACAATTTTCCCACTATAAACTAGACTGAGTTTAGTTATAAAGAAAGTTTCATTTTTACATAGGTGAGACTTGTGTTATGAGTAAAAGGTTTAAACATGCTATACAATAAAAAATAGGAATAACTGTGGCAAGCTGTGGATCCCAGAGAGGGGTAAGGTAAAGGAGTGTGGCATTAGGAAATTGAGAAAGGTAACTGACAGCCTCAATTCATTTAACATATTCATTATCTTATTAATAATATTTATCCAGCACTTTCACTGTGAACAGAGGAAATACACTTTCCTCATAAAACCTGCCTGCTTTCCTAAGAAATAGGTTAATCAGCATCATCACAGCAATGACAATAATGATAGCTAACATTATTGATGACTTGTGCTAGACACTATACTAAGGGCTTTATATATATTTTCTCATTTGTCCCAACAAAAGTAACAATATTATCATCCTAATTTTGCAAGTGAGGAAGCTGAACTTATTCAAGGTCACCTACCTAGTCAGTGTTTTAGTAAAACCAGGATATGGACAAAGGTCCTGTAAATACCAATACTTTCAGGTAACCCATCAGCCTTTATTGGTAGAGAAACTTAATTGGAATTGTAACACCTATCTACTTCCTAACATCTAACAGACTAGAGCTGACCGTTTAACCTCCAGGAACTTTTAAAACCTAGAAGGAGGAAAGTCCCATTAGTACTGGGCAGAAGCCTGAGTTACTACAGACTGACAAGTTACAACAACGATTAGAGAGCTGGGACTGACTTCTCATGGGTTAGGCAGAATTTCCAGAGGCAAAGTGGCAGACATACAACACATAGTGTATGTGCTAGGGGCAGGTTTGAAGAAGAGCTACAGAAGAAAACTTGGGAGACTAAACAGAGAGAAGTCAGAGGGAACAAGCATCCACAATGGCCATCCTTTGAAGGTGGGAATTGGTAGATCTTCTTCTCACCCTTATCCATGTGTAGTACAGGGAAATGAGTCAAAGTTACAATTTCCATTCCTTGTTTGTAGTGTTTTGAGTAATTTCCCAGACTTTTCTATAAAGGAAATCACACCTGTTCAGGGGATTTTCTATATGGGAAGGATGAATGTAATAGTACTCAGGAAGGGAACTGCATCTAATTCCTGATCAGTTATGAATTTCCCCTTGTGGGTTACTAGGTAAAGATAACCATGCTATGGCAGAAGATAACACTTAAACATCAGAAGAAAAAACAGGTTCACCTGTCTCCCATATATTATGAGGGCAAGGGGAGCAGCCCACTTCCTCTTTGAACAGCTGCCTACCAGGATTATAATGGTAAACTGGAGTTTAAGATTCAGAGGTGGTGTAGCTTCAGGGGATTGTAAGGTCCAGGGTGTGGAATGGAAGTGAGTAGCTATATTGAAGTAAAGCTTTGAGACCAAGGTATTGGACAGGTTGTCACATGTATGCTGAAGGAACCCAGAGTGATCAGAGGTCTTACGGTGAAAGAGATTATGAATCTTGACTAAAGAAGGGGAAAGTCAAGCATGGTTCCTCACGCCTGTAATCCCAGCACTTTGGGAGTCCAAGGCAGGAGGATCACTTGAGGCCAGGAGCTGGAGACCAGCCTGGGTGACATAGCGTGACCCCTGTCTCTACAAAAAATTATAAAAAAAATTAGCTGGCCATGATAGCATGTGCCTGTAGTCCCAGCTCCTTGGGAGACCAAGGCAGGAGGATCACTTGAGGCCAGAATATGAGATTGCAGTGAGCTATAGTCCAGCCACTGCACTTCAGCCTGGGTGACAG